CCCACACACACAACACCAACACACACACACACACACACACACACACACACACCACACACACACACACACCAAACACAATCACTACACACACACACACACACACATCACAACAACACACACACACACTCACACACCCGTAGGCTGGCTCTCTCTTTGCCCACACCACACTGCATGTGCCATCTGGTCCACGATGATTACGCGTTATTGTGTTGTCTGGCCAGGAGGCTGAAATCCCACAATTCATAGGGTTCACACACCACACACACCACACACACACACACACACCACACACACACGACACACACACACACACACACACCACACACACACACACACAAGCATCAGTGAAAGGAGTTTACGCTACGTTATCTCACCATCGACTCAAATCTCTCATACTGACATGGAGGATTAAGGAAAAGGAGAAAGCTCTGTTACTCTTCCTCTCCCTCCTTTCCCTTCTCGCTTTAAGCGCTCTCGCCTCATTGCTTTTCCTCCTCTTTAATCTTCACCATGTTGGCTTGTTTATAGCCACGTTTCCCATTTCCTCCTCTCTCCCCATTTCCCCCTCACTCTCTCTTCTCATTTCCCCATCTCCTCTTGCCTTCTCGCCTCGAGGTTGTGAACTATGCACAGTAAGGGGTTCCACCATTGCAATGAAAGAGCTTAGGGCCCCGTATCACACAGCCTGCACACACACAATTTAATATGGCGGGAAAACGCGAACTTTGCACTGAACATAGCCGACACACACACACACACACATCTCCCCCTCCTCTATCGATCACACACACACACACACACACAACAACACACAACACACAAACACAGACACACAACACGCCACCACCCACACCACCACACACACACACACACACACCGCACACACACACACACACACACACACACACAGAGGCTTATAGAGTCTATAATTGGCTGGGGTATCAGTGGCGGGGGACAGCAAATTCACTGGTGTTAGAAAAGCCTCTATGCAGGACGGACGGAAGACGGAGCAAAAGGAAATGAAGTGCCAGTGAGCGGGGCCGTCCTCCGAGCGGCCCCCTTCCTCTACAGGGTATGTTGGATAAAATAGGTCATTCGGAAAACCAATGAATTTTTCTCACGGAGGTTGTATTCCAATGCAGGCAAAACATTCCATAATGTACTGAGATTCGATGTCATCCCTTTTCCATTGGAGAAGTCTTCTTGTTAAGACACTGAAAATCAAGGACACTATGGTACATGCAACTGTAAACATACCTGACAGGGTAGAAAAGAGACTTGTGAAGTAATGTAAATTGCCGATGTTACAAAATACTAAAGGACTGGGAGGCAAGATTCGGACTGTGACTAATCAATTTATTTTTTAATCCAGTTTCTGCATGAGCCACTCAGACTGATCTTCAGTGGTGGAATGTTACAAAGTACATTTACTCAAGTTGCAAATTTCCTGTTACATATCATTTATACGATTGAGATCACTCTACACTTGAGATTCAATTATGAACACAAAATATACATCAACTGTAATGATACTTGATTATAGGGTTGAAGAACCAGTAGCAGTTGCACAAAAGTTCATTCAAATAACACATGACCAAAGAGCCACTCAAGTGATGAACAGTGCATCGAGAACTATATAACATTGGGTTACCAAATATATATGGTGGTTAAATTTGCCATTGTGCAACAATAGTCACTTGAGATCATATTGAATGCCTCGACTTGTACTTTACTTACGGACAGTCATTTTGGGATGCAGGACATAAAAATAATCATAGGACTCTTCCACGCTCTTATCTACTAGATACATGTAAGCAGTAAATCGGAGATCAGCTTTCCCTAAATCAACTGAAAGATATAAGCAAACACAGACTCACATTCTGAAGTATTTTCCAGGACACCGGTGAAGCTGAGTGCGCTGGCAGTGTGAGAATGAGTGCTTTAGGATCTACATACTGGATACAGTCACAAGCATACAACCACTTCATCTAACTGGAAAGAAAGATGATGAATATCTCATAATTTGACAAATACGTGAATGTTTCATAATCCGGGAAGCATTGTGAACACAATGCAAGTGTTCATTCAAGCATGGGTGTAAAAAGTCACTTTTAATCAATGTGTTTCTATATGAGTACTCAACAGTGTTGTTATAGTCCGGGTTGCTGCTCCACGGGGGTTGAACCACGCACGTCTGTTGTTTTAAGGTTGTCAACATACTGCCAATTCCTGCTTTTCTTCCTCCAAAAGATACTCTATCTGTTTTCTGACCTGTGTCGGGTAACCCTTTATCCTACCCCGGGGGAAAAAAAGAGAAACAGCCAATGTGGGAAATAAAGATACTTTGAACCCCCACATGTGTACGCTGTCCTGAAAGCTCAAGTGTTATAGCTGTTATGAAAGAGGAGTAGGAGTGAAAAGCTGTGGAGGACCACCGTGAGACCGTAGATGACGGGGAAAACAGCTCCGAACATTGACTCTGGGGTCATCGCTGTTCCCCCTGTACAAACACCTTTAGAGACAGGGTAGTATTAGTGAATAATACGCGGCGAGCCCGCCCCAAACAAAAGTTTGATGTGAACAAAACTCTGCTCTGTCCGAATGTGGCATGTCCCTGTTGCCGAAACAAGAAGTAAATATTGGAAGTAAGATAATAGGCTCATATTTCTGTAAGTAATTTGACTAACAGGAGAATGGGTGGGGGTATCTTACTGTGAAAGTCTCCGCACGGCTCTCCCTGGACGGTCTTTGTTCCACTTTGCTGAGGATTCTCCAGTAATTGCAGATAACAACCTGGAGTTTTGGATTTTCCACTGTGAAGAAAAGGATGGATATCTGTGGAAACGGAACCCTTCCTGTGTATCCTAATGAGTCCTTCGCTTCTGCTCTTTACACGTCCGTGTGCCATCGCGTGTTGATATCAATAGCGAAGCCATCCCCCTACCATCCAAAGCGGTGGCAATTGCCCTTTATGACAGTTTAGTATTATATTTTGATTCACACTACAAATAATTGATATTGAATTTTCCCTATTTAAATGCTAGACATTATGAAGAAAAACGTTCTGAACATAGTGATGCCTGTCTTGAGTAGCTGCAGCTGCAAGGTGAACGACTATCTACCTTTATGAATCGCTCAAGCCAATACCTTGACTATTGTAACTCACTTGATACGGCATTCGCTAGATCACGTTCTGGATAGACAGCAAATATGTAACATGTACCGCCCCGAGTTGTAAAATTTGAAAGAAAATGACCCTAATTCTCACCTCATCATTACATTGCATTTAGCTGACGCTTTTATCCAAAGCGACTTACAATAAGTGCGTTCGACCAACAAAATACAAACTTGAAGAAAACAGAATCATATAAGTACATCAGGTTTCATAGAGCTAAAACATTTCAAGTGCTACTCAACTGGCTTTAGATAAGCCAGTCCTTTATTAGTATATAAGTGCTTTGTTAATAGTTCTATCGCTCGAAGTGAAGTCGAAAGAGATGAGTTTTCAGTCTGCGCCGGAAGATGTGTAAGCTTTCTGCTGTCCTGATGTCAATGGGGAGCTCATTCCACCATTTTGGAGCCAGGATAGCAAACCCACATGTTTTTGCTGATGGGAACTTGGGTCCCCCTCGCAGTGAGGGTGCAGCGAGCTGTTTGGCTGATGCAGAGCGGAGTGCACGTGCTGGGGTGTACAGTTTAACCATGTCCTGGATGTAGGAAGGGCCAGATCCATTCGCAGCATGGTACGCAAGTACCATTGTCTTGAACCTAATAAGTACGGTAGTTAAATATTTATAAATTCTTTAACATCAAAAACATAATGATGGGGTTGAAGGTATTCACCAGTTTTTACTGGACGTACGTAAGATACTCTTGGAACTAAATAGTGAACACAACGACAAGTCTTAATGACGAACAACTGGTGGTGAAATACAAGATGTAGTGTTCACATAAATCCATCTAATAAAAATACAATACGTTCTAAAATGGACCAGTCATACTATTATTATTATTATATAATACTAGAACATACACAAAGATCCTGACGAGAAGTTTCTATCCATCAACACCCCCCATACCCTGATAGTTTTGAACTAAAAAGTTGGCCGTACCTAACTAACCCCACACATCCCCATACCCTGATAGGTTTAAACTAGTAACCAAAACAATAAACTACCCACACCCCCCCCTGACTTTTCCCTACCTTATGACATGCCCAGAGTCTGTTCGCCAAAAACCCCCTCCCTTAAAAGTCTAAGAACCCCTCGACGGTGACTTTTATGAGACAGGGGTTACGACGGATCAAAACCTGAACGCCCCCTGTCCACTGCCCGACTCCACTAGATTCCCTGGCGACCCAACCATCCCCCACTCTTTGGTCACTCTATCCCCCAGTCTACTACCTCCCGATATCCAAACTCCCGGTCATAAAACATCAACTACCA